ATCATTATTCAAGTTATTATATGGGCAATATCACACAAGCAGGATTATGATATAGATCTATATCAGCAATGTGGCCTTGTGCCTACGGCCAAATCACAGCTGTGCTGATATAGAGCCATATCGCACTTGTTTTCCTATGATACTGCTTATATACAACAGTTATATGGCACAAGTGTACAAATAAATTAGAAACAACCACAGAGTGTCTTTTACAAAACCCTCATATGTGGAAATACTTTCTTCCAACCCGGATTCAAATCTGCCGCTGAGTTTACAGCTTTTTACAGCTTTCTCGAGTGGAAAAATGCATGCATTTTCCATGCCGGTCGTGAGAAGAGCTATGGTAATTGATATAATACACTAAGCGTTAACCATTCCAACACAATCTAAAGTTGAATAATATAAACATAAAATAATAAAAAAATGTCTACATTTATTACTAAGTCTCTACTGTAGCTCCCGTGTACTAAAATCCCACAATGCATCGCGCTGTGACGTCCATTCTCTATTGATTTTACAGCAAGCATATTGGCCAGATTAACAAAATATAGAGAAGCTGAACTTTTGAAATCAGTTTACAATTAATCTAACTATGATTGCAGGTCTCATATGGTGTGTATCTCAGCATCTGAGGTGTAGATGAGTTGATAACATGTGCAGGTGCCACTGTTTACTTGCTAAGGTGTGATGTAAGCTCCTCACAACAATACTCTGCAGGAGTGTTTCATAATGGCCTCGGTTCACACTACAACTGTCAGCCAACCCATCTGTGTGTCAATAGAGCAAATAGTGACCAACACCACAAACATATGCCACATTGTCATGCCTCTCTCTCAGTGAGTGCTAAGAAACACCAATGTTGTGTTGTGATAACATCTGGAAGCACCATCAGCATCATGTAGTCTAATTTAAGCTCATTTCACTCACTCTGCCAGACTAGCAGGGAAGTTAATAATTGCATGAGGGTGGCTGTGTGTGGTGAACTGTCCATCTATCTGTCTGTCTGCTTGCCTACCTGCCAGGCAGGATGCCATGACAGAGGACCAGAGTCCCAGCCATCATTTGACTGGGGAGAGCCTCATTAATTAACATATGGAGAGCAATTATCTCATGGGTCATTGCTCATTTTTATGAATTCATGTTCTGAAAATAAGAGAAAACTAACAAGAAAACTGATCCAGGGAATGATGTCCGTAGAGCCAAGAGGAAAATTAATTCCATAAGTTAAGCGCTAGGATCGATTCATAAAAAAAATACATACAGCATACAAAAAAGTTTATCCTCCTGGATGAAGAAGTCTCTTAATTGTGAAGGCCAAGCTATCAATAGTGCTTTCCGTATAATACAAAGCCATGTGTCTGAGAACTGCAATCACATTGCAAGTTTACTTTTGATTCTGAACAAAAAATTTACTCCATATATATCCAAAGTAAAGCTCTGTCACCATTAAAACCACAAACAAAAAAATTTAAAAGATTAAAAAGAACATTAAACTCACTAAACCAAACCTCCAAGGCCGTCCAAGCTAAATCAGTAAACTAAAAATCTAGACTCAATTTTCCACCTACCTGTAGGTAAGTTTACTTTTCCTTTTGCATCTTGATTTTTGGAATCCATTTGCAAGTCATAGGGACCAAACTGCACATAAATGTCCAACTAGATGCAAGGATTAGTATGAGAATAATAGGCTACTTTTATGACTTTCAGGGGAAACTTTAAAAAAAAAATGCAAAGCACTGTTAAACAGATTATTACACGAAAATACGAAGGAAACTTCAGGCAGGCCTCAGAAAACAAATGATTTGGTAGGCTATCACTAGCACAGTTAGTTATAATTTACCTAAAAGTCTTTTTTGATAAACCACAAAACCTTTTAGGAAATATTTGTGATGTGCAAATCTATAAATAACGACAGTACTTGTCATGCTTTATCGTAGTAGCGCACGAAAATTATTGTAATAGAAATTGTTATTTCGATGGCGAAAGTCATTTTGCGACATGTAGCCTATATGCGCTGGCTGACTTGGCTAATATAGGAAACCTTATTGAAACTATATTTTTGGTTTAAAAAAATAGCCCTACTTTACTAAAGACCTCCTGCCCAAAAGAAGCCGAAGCAAGTAAGCGAATAATCCGCACATTTTTTATTCATTATGAGCAGGCGGATCTAGAAAATAATTTTTAGGGTAGCAAAGGGGTGGCATGGGGTCTATGAGGGGTGGCAACACCAAAGCAAGCCCCCATGCATAGTGTTTGGGGATTTATGCTACTTCAGTCTGTGTGCATTGACTTTATTTAATACACGAGTTTCACAATTTGAGTTGAATTACTGAAATAAATGAACTTTTCCACGACATTCTAATTTATTGAGATGCACCTGTACACAGTTGTGTTCACAAATATTGTATTACCATTAAGCAATCATCTATACTGTTTAAAATTAAAAATAAATAACAACATTTCAATATCCATCATGGCACCAAGTCAATACACAATATAAAAAACGTAGGT